TTTTTTCTTTCTTTTTTTTTTTTTTTTTTTTTTGAGTTATCCGCAAAGTATCAATATACATATAGCGATAGTTTCATACAGAGGAAATCAGCCATGCCATCATCCAGTCACCTCGATAATAGCGCCCTTTATACTTTCGTATAGAGTAACGGTTGATCTAGAAAGCGACGTGAAAGCAAAAAAGAAGAAAAAAGAGAAAAAAAGAGAAAAAAATTTCGAACAATGATTCCTTCCTCAAGTAGATTCGTAATTGCGGAACATGGATTGATAAAAAAAAAAAAAAAAAAAGAAAAAGTGTGTATAACTCGGAGGAAGGTTCCATGGGACGCCAATTTTTGCAGTTCGTCCGTTTTTTCTCTCTGTACACTGTTTTTCCGTTCTTGTCCTTTCGTCAACGATTGTACATATATATTAATTAATTGCGATCATTATGTAAATAACTCGTCGACAAAAAAAGAACACGTACACACACACACACACACACACATATATATACGCACACACACATACACACACACACAAAATGAAGACGAAGAAAATGAAAGAAAGAAAGAGCAAACAAAAGAGATGAAAAAGAAACACACAGAAAAACGAGCAGAAACACGCGCGCAAACCTGTCCGCGCGAGGTTTATTTTAAAGACTACATCATTATTATAATGATTACCATGTAATGATATTTAATTGATAAGGGTAACATATATTCTATACTCTTACACGCTAAGTACTCAATAAATATATCTATAAAATTTCCCCGTGTTTGTGATTGTCTACCCTTTGACCCATCCCGATGTATTCCTGTCGTATTCGTGGCGTCTGAACCCAATCAAAAGAAAAAAAAAAAAAAAAAATCTCTTTCTCTCTCACCAACCTCTGTCGTGTCCATTTTGTTCGAGCAAATAAGATTCGGTTCTTTTTAATAATTGTAAATGTTCTTCATCACACACCTCTTGTCTCTCTCACCTTGTCGTACAGTTTCTTCCTCATGACAATAGCGAGAGGTCTTTAGGCTTAAGTGTATAAATAAATATTTCTATATATATATATATATATATATATATACATATACATACATTATATATTGTAGGCGAAGAGTGCAGGGGAAGAACACGATAAGTCACGCTCACCATTCTTTCGCAGAAAAAGCAAGAACTTCAATCAAAATTCGTATATATATATAAACATTGCTTATCTGGCTACCTAGCTTAACACTAGAACTACCAGAGTATGACCAAGTCATGTTAATTTTATACATAGTAAACTCTATGTAAACGATTTTATAAATCTTCAAATGGTGTATTTTTAGAGAATAATATTTCATAAAATATGTGTGTAAATAAAAGCTTGTGTTCTGCATTACGCGAGAAACGTTTTTGTTTTTTCTATTCCTCGAGGTTTCGTTGTTTTATTATGCTTTAATCATCTAGTGATTCTAGTGTTAATAATTAATAATTTTTTTTTTAGCAAATTTTGTCGATCAATTGGTCCCAGCAAATTTCTTTCATTCCCAACTATGTACGGGAATTTTCGGTAAAATACTCATCAGGTTTTTCTCCTGCAATCTTCAAAGGTATCCGGTGCTCTCGCTACAAGTCCGAAATAATAGTACCTACGAATGCGTGATGTGATAAGAAACGTTGTTTTTTGCTATGAACGAGTAACGATGAGAGATTAAATTAAAAACTTTTAGTAACATCACTGACAGAGTTCTCACTGTTTATTTCTCTCTCTTTCAAGCCCGCAAAACTTCGATTCTAAAAGCGTGTCCTCCGTTTTTTTCACACCTCGTGTGATCTTTGCATCAATGAAGCCACATTATAACAATTCTTTTCTCATCCCGTTGGTTTTTCTTAGTGAAGGAGAATAATTACAACACGTAATTATTAACGATGCATCGATGAAGGATTTACAGTGTTTTCTAACGTATATCGATCCCTAGTCTCGTATTCGCCGTTGTCGTTATCGTCCGGCAGTCTGGAAAAATTCGAAAATAAAAATCCAGGGAAAAAAATTAATGAAAAAAACCTTCTTTTAGCCAGAGCAAAATGTTCTCTGTTCGATTAGTCGTATCGAAATAATAATAATAACAATAACAACAGTAATAATAATAATAATAATAATAACAATAACAATAATAATAATAATAATTTATGACTCGAGGAGAGATTGCAGATGGAGAATGGTAAAAGAAAAGATCTAACGTTAAAAAAAGTAAATTCTAATTGTTAACAGTTCCTATCAAGATCGACTGTTTTATAATCTTTATTGATGAGAAATAAATTTTACATGAATTCCGTATATGCTTTTTGTACATCATTTATTGTGAAACGTTTTTTTTTTTTTATGTTTTGAATCTTTTACAATTTGTATTTATTTTTCCACCGAGATGTATTTACAATTTTCGTTTCTGTTTCATTTTTCTTTCTTTTTTTATGTAAAAAGAAACAATGAAAAACAAGAAAGAAATATGTGTATGTGAAAATCGAATCATTTTGTACAATATATGTTCTTATTTTACAATAGTACAATATTTTGTACAATTTTTAATTTGTATAAGTCTCGTGTATCATTCCAATGAGTATGATACGCACCAACTCTTCCCGCTAAAAATCAAAGTTCTTTTCTTTCTTCTCTTTTTAGCTGAGCAACCTGTTTTAATTAATTATTGATGATCATAAAAAAATCTCTGTTCCAAAAGTCTATAAAAATTTTGAAACATTAAATGGATAATGAAACAATTAGTGGACAAGATACAATCAGGAATCTGTTGAAATAAAAAAATTAATTTATTTGCTCTGTTCCAGTATCTTCTCTTCTCAAATTGTGTTGTCAGTAGAAATGAAAATTTACGGAATAAAAATGCAATATACATGCGTAATAATACTTGTAGAAATATCACAAGCAATTTTAATTTTAACCACGATTTCTTTTTTAAGAAACATTGTCGTCAATATTTCTTATATAAATATAATAACCTAATATATAATAACCTATCTATCTGAATCTTGAAAATTTATTAAATGAAATTTCTTTTTCCTGACACAAGTTGAAGTTTACTCAACTATAATTATCAAAGCAATTTTTTCTTGCGAAATATCTAAATATTTTCTAATACCATTGTTGTAAGTTTAAAATTTTAAAAATTGACAAAGGCTCTCATTAGTATAATTAGTGCATACCTTTGGAAAGGATTATGATTAGTAACAAGTATATACCACATGTAACACAATTTTTTTCTTACATAAAATGAAAACTTAGACTGACTAGTTTGACTGAGGAAGTGGAATGATAAAAGAAATGACACGGTAAGTTCCTATCATTCCCACACCAATTCAGAATACTTCTATACATATTATACAATCAAACATTTCAAGATTATCCGAATTGAACTTCTTTCAAAGCAAAGTATCCACACGCTATTTTTTAATTTTCTATATCATATAGTTTAATCCTAAAATACAAAATCAGAATAGAATTTTTTATATTGTCAATACTTTTTATTAATTTAATACTTTTCTATATTTTAATTATATAGAAAATATAATACTATTTGTTACGTTTACGCTTCATTAAATCTCAGTTAATTCGGATAATCGTGATTCATATGCATGTATTGAAAATGCATATTTAAATTAAAATACATTGTTTAGTGAAGTCACATAGTTGGAAAGATAGATTGTTCTTACATAGAAAATTAATTAAACAAGAATATGAAAACTTTCATGTACATAGTGGAAAAAGAACGTTCTATGGAAGAATTGCTTTTAAGTGTTACATAAACAGTGTGTAAACAGCACACAGGAATAACATTTTATACCGCCTATAGTGGTTAAACGTTCTAACCATATAAAATAAGTTATATAAACGCTGCAACCTGAATGTAATATTGGTATCGAAATTGGATTAAAACCTTAATCACAATGTTGGACTGGAATTATGTATACTCCTAGTAGAATTCGTTGTTACAAATAACAAATATAATAGCGGCTATTTGTAGAAAAATACAAACAGATACTTGTTTACATGAATCATTAATTTTACAGAAACGTAACGGTGTTCTAAATGTAATTCAATTATCCTATTGCAATTGTTACTTACTCGAGGCCTAGGCCCCAATTGATACCTTGAACGAGAAGCAAAATTAACGGTTGCCAAGCAATTAACCATCTGATCCAGTCTAATAACTGACCGTACAAAACATGAGGTCGTTCCCATCTTTACACGTTGTTAAGGTATATATAAGATATATATTGCAGAAAATAGACAATTGCGAGTTAATTATTATGTTAAAAGGATACGGATTGTAAAACATTTTCTTGAGATCAACCTTTTCTTTACAATATGGGCACGTTTGTTTCTTTCCTATGATGCACCATCCTCGAATACAAAATTCATGAAACACGTGTTCACAACTAAGTTTGTACGTGTTTTCAATAACACCAGGTTCATTTTCTGACACTAAAAGTCTATTTCCACATACTGCACACACACCAGGTTCTAAAGTCCTTGTTGGCATATGGCCTGGCACATAATACTGTAAATTATTTAATATATTGCACTATATAACTGACATACATCGGCATACATCTATACTTGATTACTCTATACATACTCCGATGTGTGAAGCCATTTTATCTGCACATATTTCTGCAACATCTCTTCCTAATACACCAAAATAAAGACCATAAAATAACAAAAGTAAACCACAATCCATCCATACTTGTGGCTTAGTTTCAAACACCAAATGTAAACCAAAAAATGTGGCTAACATTATAATGTAACTTATTATACCCAACATATAACTTAATTTATAAATAAATAGAAACCATTTGTACACCAATCTATCAAAAAAAACAGATTAAATGAATTATCAACCTCAAATAATATACAAATTATAATTGACAAAAATATGCATACCTTGGTGTTGTACCTGCTATAGGTTTCTGAACAGCCTTTCTTACTATTAATCCTGTTATGCAAGATGTTACTAACCACAGAAATATAAACCTCCACCAATGATTTCTTAAACTTAATCCAAATGGAATAATCCACATAGCAATTAAAGTAACAAACTAAGAAAATATATCCCATATGTATAAATGTATCAAACTGAAATTTATATAATACTAAGGAAAATTAATTTTAATTTACCTGATATGACTTATAATGTATTTTCTTCCATTCAACTAATATAATCTGTGCTACTACTAAGGTTCCAAATAAAATAAGCAACATTTCTGCATGCATTGACTCGTGTCCCAGATGTTGTTCGTGCATTTTTATATGTTGTACCCTGAAAAATTAAATAAAATTTATATATTAAAAATATATCTTAAATATATTTCATTATTTCAGCATTAATGTCAATATTACCTCCATTTTTCTTCTACCGTCATCTCATCTTCACTCTATAAAAAATACACATATTTATTTAAAAAAATACAATATAAAAAATTCATTGCAAAATTTAATGCAATTCGTTGTTTCTCAATAAAAATTGCGATATGAATTATATGATGTAATTAGATATAGAAATTTATTACGAAAATAATATGCTGATCATTATGATACATAAATATTCATGTTCATTTTTTAGATAAATATTGTCCTTGTAGGTTATATTTGAATAAGCATGGCTTACGTGTACATTTCTGTTTTAATGATATCAATATATTTTTGTTTAAAATAATATTGTACCTTATTTGGGAGTGCGTGTGAATGCATAGTCATTCGTATTAAGAGCTATCACTTATAAAATATATTTTACTAAATTGACATAATACATCAAAAACTCTTTGGAGACATTGTAAAGTACTATTCACAATGGTGCAAATCCAACATGATTAGTAACAACAAATTTTATTTAATCTGAAGTAAGTGATAATTTGTTTCCTATAATATATTATCACCATATTGTGATCACCAAGTGAAGTATCTAAAACATAAATAACTCATTCAATTAATTAATCGCAAAAAACATTATTTAAGATATATATTCAATATTTCGCGCCAAAATCCTTTTTCCGCCATATTGATGACGTTCAATTATTGTACCTGTTATTCATAACGTGTTATTTGAATTGTTACAAAATATAATTGATAATCGCTGTGAAATAGCAAAGAAAGACTGAAGAATATTTGTTTAAGGTAAATGAAACATTTCAAATAATTAATTTGTTAAAATTCTTACAACAATGATAAATATCAATAATATTTATGTTGCTCCAAACATACATTCGTTACATGCAGAAATTTTACGTATTTATTAAAAATTTAATAGTATTGTAAATAATTCGCTATTTAATATTATTGTAAAATAGAATTTTTAATTGAAAACAGTTGTAATATCGATGATAAATATGATTAGGTATTTCAAATAGGAGGATTACAATTCCTATTCTAGGTTATCTCTTTTCATAGTTCTACAATCTGTTCTACAATCAATTATACAAATCTTATATATTTTTATTAATTATCTTTTACTGTACGTCTGCTTAATGAATTAAACAAATTTGTAATATATAGAACTGATTTTCTTATAAAATATAAGATATAAGAATACAAATGTACAAATATAAGAAATTCGTATATTATGAGAAAATCAGTTCCATATCAATATTTCCGTACGAAATACAAATTCACATAACCTATAACTCTCTGACAAAATAACATCAATTATTGAATTTCATTTTACAGAAATTAATCGCGCGCTGTAACAGATATTAAATTCAAATTACACGCGCGATTCCTATTCGTCGTAAATTTTCCGTTCAAATGTGAATCGACCTGCCAGTTCGCCAATCAGAAAGGCTCGTGCATGTCCGTGAGTATTCGAACGACGACGGCGTTAAACCACGCCCATCACTGCTGGCCAGAGAGGGAAGTGCTGGTAATTCACTCTGCGAAGCAGCAATATGAGCGTTTACACTGTTTCTTGAGAAAACGCGCGACGTGACGAAATTCCATAGTCGTAAAATCGCGCGTCGAAAGTGTCATCGGGTCACGCGCCGTTCGCGGATTCAGTGAGTGATACAGTGTCGTGATTGGTTTCGTTTCGTTCACGGGGATACGATTTTTGGTTAGTTTCCAGAGGCCCGAAAAGGATATCGCCGCTCGTCGGTTCATTTGCCTCGAGGAATTGCCTTCGGTGAGTAAGAATATCACACGTTTACCTGCATACATGCGCGTGTTTTCACTCGGGTTTTCTCCTGCCTGTCAAATCGTGTACATATTGCCGCACAGATTGTGCGTGCATTGTCAATGAACTCACATGTCGCTTTTCATACGCGATTAAGGTTACGTACGTGCATCCGTGCGATCCTGTGGAATGTCATAAAAAGTTTGACCGTCGATGGAAATTTAGAGAGATCTACTAACAAGTAAACACGTACTCGTGCCCTATCGTGTTGAGAGCGTGTTGTATGTTTTTCTTTTCTTGTCGATGCACTGAATTTTTTGATTTTGGTGTTAACGAAAGGACGACGAATCTTTTGCTAATCTCAAACGTACGTTGTTACATATAAAATCTTATACACGTTAACAATATGTTAATATTGAACGTTTTATTCTATTCGAATCGAATCGTACTATACGTTTTTGCTTGGTTATCCATCCCCCTTCCGGGAAAATCCGTCCCCGAGATGAAACATCGAGCTCCGAAGCAAATTGAATTCCTCCTTTCGTATATAGTAACTCGATCATGCGGTTTCTCTAGATACTCTGTAGTAGAATTTTTGCTTTAACAGGTAGTTTCTTCTACATACACGTTGTCAGTGCGTGATACTTTGGCAAACAAATGGAGATGAATTAGGTCGATAGGCTTCACCTTCGGTTTCCACCTGGCTGCCAGATCAAATAGCGAATCGTAAATCACATTTATCTACCGCGTATCTGGCATTTTTCACTAGAAAGCGTATACAGGCTTGTCTGCCTTGTCATTCGTCGCTCTGTACGTATATTGACTTTAATCGGTATCTTAACCTGACCCTTACCGATTTAATTAGGTTAGGTTGCAAATGTAATAACAAAGAATAAAAATTACATAGAAAAAGCATTCAATGATAATTCTGACAATTATTAAATAAGTGTTAAAGTATTAAATTATAAATATAAAATACAATATTAAGGTTATAAATCTTATTTATATTGGTGATTATTTAGGTTATAAATCTTTTTAATATTGCAGTTGACGATTAGCGTCAGGGCGGGCATTGGCGCGCCAAAATTCAAATTTCAGTCACAGCCACATTTTATTAATTCTTACGCTGTTGATACGGCATAAGATTTTAGAAATTAATAATTTTGATAATTATCAAGGAAAATAAATAAATAAATATATATATACACACACA